CCTTGTAATGTTTAAATTTAAGTTATAAAACAGAAGGTAGGAACTGAACTGAAGCATTATTAGAAAAGTGTAATCTGTAATAAATAAATTAGGTACAATACCTGAAGCAAGGCTAATACTAGTATTTACAACAAAATCCAAGCCAGACTATGAATAAGAGTATTGATAATTGTCTTCCTTGTTATTAAATGGTAATGTAATTATCTGTGTGTTAGAGGTCAGTGGAATGTACAAATGGTTACAAACATGCCTTAAAGCAGACATGTCTTTATCTGGTTTGATATGAACAGAAATTTATGATCTGATTTTATTAGCTCTTCTGGATTGTCCCTTGAACTAATTTTGCAAAACTCCCAATGTGATTGCCATCCACAGTTTTTATTTAGATCTCAGTGAGGAAAATTACTGTAATCTCTTGCTCTTCAGATGTACATTCTGAGTCAGATACTCCTTTCCCAAAACTTTCCAATAGGATTCACTGGTGAAAATCCAATTGCAAAATCGAAGTCTTTGTCTATTAAAATAGTAACGTCTTTCAGCACACAAAGTAAGGGCAGAGTGTATGTAATGATTGAAGCCATTCTTTGTGGGAAGTGGTACTTCCCTGTCAAATATATATTTCTGTTATTTGTTTCAGTATTACTCTCATATTCCAAATCATGGGGCTTTCCTGTATTTATCAGCTCCTCAGTTGGCTGGCAGGCTTTCCTAGCTGTTGTTTTCCAGTAACCAGAATTCCATGATATTACCAAAATCCTTGCCAGAACCCTTTGTATCACTTGACATAATTCCTGCTCAGCCTCCTGGGGGGCTCTGCAAACCTCAGCAGCCGTGTGTGGCACCTTTCCTGCCTTACCCAAACTGGATATCCAGCTCTGTCAGTGCAGCAGCACATGGAAAAGATGGGTGAACCCCATCTGATTATTTCTGCATTAATAAGGTTTTCCTGGCTAAATAGAGGCCTTTTTCATGTGAAAAAATCCCTTGCACACTATTGGCATTTGTAACTGCATTTATGAAATTTTCTAAAAGCACATTACTGAATTGTTTGTGATGCATTGTTGCTACATTTTATTATGTAAATATGTACTTAGGAGCCTTTATAAAATGCAGACTATTGACCCAGTCCTATAACTATTTACTCAAAGTTTTAAAACTCTAATTATTTGACCTGGCTGTATGGCTATTCATTCTTAAAACAAAAAAATAAATAAAAAATGCCCGTGTAGTATGTCTGTATTGGGAATTAAATTTAAAAAAAAAAAAAGTTTAGAGTTACCTCAAGAAGCTGTTAACAGTACTTTTGGAGTAATATCAAACTTCACACATTGTATTTCTCTTATAGGCTAATGGCCTGCAAAATTTTGTGTTTAAAATATGAATTTCTTTTTTTTTAATAACAGGAAGAAAAAAAAAATTAAATATGTTTCAGTTCTAGAACTTATTTTCTAAGTTTCAGCCCAGAGCAAAATTTTTATGCTTGAGTTACAAACCTCTGAAAATAGGGGTTTACAATGGAAACACTGACACCATTTTAACTATGGCAGCACTGGCAGAGCAGTGTAATATACACTAGAAATAGAAAGCAAGATTAGAGATGACATTTAGGACATGAGGCCTCTTCTCCAGGCTGTGGGAAAAATAACTGTGTTCTATTTTTTCCTCAGCCTGAAAAAGGCCTCCTGGTCTAAGTGTCATCTCTAATCTTATTTCCCATTCGTATAGTGCATTTAACTAACTCCTTTTTTAATTATTATTGGCAGCAATTTGTTGCAGTTTTAAGTACAACCCATGTCCAAATCACAGCTTCCCTGGCTGGCACATGTCAAGGTGGTGGGGAGGGTACCGAGGAGACCGAGTGCTTTGCTGCTATTTTGTCGGAAGGAAGCGCAGTGCCACAGCTGGCTCTGCTGGCCCTGGCTGGGGCAGGGCAGAGCCCCTCACAGCTGTGCCAGAGCCATGTGCACATGTGCAAATTGCATTTCCTTAGGGCAGAGTGTAGCCTGACAGGCAAATACACTTACCCTGGGGTGTCTGGAGCAGGAACCAGGACATGCAGGTACTCAGGTGCAGTGACTTCCACACCACCTCTGGAACAGGCCACATTTCCCACCACTATTTAGCCTTGATCCAGGGTCCTGAATACTCCAAAGTGAGAATGTCCTGAGCACTAAGAAATAATTTGGTAAGACATAACTCTGGACTAGGCTGCCTTCACCACAAAACTGTGTTAATATTGTCAGGAAGATCTGTGACCAGTGTGGCCCCCACGAAAGGAGGGACTCCAAAAGGTAGCTAAGCTCAAGGGATAAGTTTTAAATTTCTTCATGTTAAACCCTTTTTCCACACTTAGGCATCCTCTGACTCGTAGCTGCTTCAGTTTCATATTCACTGCATTAAATGATAATTCCCTGTATACTTTTATGGCCTTTTAATGCCTACTGTGCCACAGCATTGCTGTGCAGCGATCTTACAATCTCCAATCTCAGTGTGGGGTAAAAAGGAGCAATAAGGAAGGAAAATGCCACTGCAGAACAAATGCAATTGTAATTACTTCTTGCTCCCACCCAGAAAAATGCCAGTAGGGGATCCATATCCTGAGGGTGATCAGACAGACAGAGTGCATCTATTCTGTCGGTATTGCTTGAACAGTCAAGGTGGAAACTTATTCTACATTTGAACTGCATTTTCAGTACTCATCTGATCAATTCTTTTTATTGCTATACTCGCAGTAGACAAAGATACTGGCAGCTACTGCCTATTCTCCAAGAAATGTATCCTGTAAAGTAAATAATAGAGTCAAATTTATTGCTGAAGCAATTGCCTAGTGAAGGTGCTTCATTCCAGCACTGTGAAAGCTGGTATTAATGTAGGGGTAAACACGACCTGTTCTGTGTGTACATGTAAGTAGGTGCATATTTTTGTTTGTAAGCACAGTGTCTTCTTGGCAGGTACTCTGCAGCCAGCAATTGCCAACTACTAAATGTTCAAAGAAACATGATGTGAATTGTTCTCCACATTGGGAGAGTGGCCAGGAAAATGCATTTAATATAATCAGTGGATCAAATTCTGACAGCAGAGATATAGAAAAATTTGCTTACCTGTGAACATCTTCTGGATTTTAATTTTCAGAAAAAGCAGTTAATAATAACAAGTATTCTCTCTTGCACAAATGATGTATCATAAAGCTGGAAAAATTGAAATATGAGTTATTTGGTAAAGCTGAGCTTTCATATTCATTTTTCTATGAGATTTTGACATTGTTATTGGCACAATACTTCATTCTACTTTGTGTTGTTTATAGATCCAGGAAAATGTCATATACTTTCTTTAATCCTTACAAAATATAAACACTCTTTTAAAAATGTTCTTTTCTGTGGTTAGATCTCTGACTAAACAGTACTTTTTGCACAAGCCAAATGCATGATATAGTCATTTGTCAAAAAGTAGCATGACGATTTAAATGCCATTAATTACTGAAGCTGCTGTAAAAGGCTGGTAACCACAGTACTTGTGCACAGGCAACCACTGGGACACAGAATGTTCTTCCAAAAGCACCTTCTTGGTCATATAGGGCTGTGAGTGTGGGACATGAAGAAGGGGTGGATCAAAAGTCTCTGTTGGGAAACCAAAGCCTCCAGTTGAGGCTGTAGCTGTGCAAATCCCTGAACATGGAGTGCTGTTCCTGTCAAGAGCACTGTGTTACACCAGCCACTCTGTCTCACTTGTGACAGCCCCTAATCATATTTTTGGCCAGGAGAACCAGACTAGAAGTTTCTAAGACAAGATTCTCTACCCACAGAAGCTATGAGGAATTAACTTGAAAGTGCTCTGTTACAACAGTGCAGTGGAGTGAGTTGGCACTGATGATAATCTCACCTGGCCCAGCCCAGTGTGAACCAGCATAACTCCACTTTAAATGATTACGTGAGTTTCCATGCAAAAAACATTTTAACTAAGCACCTTCTGTTGCTGTGGCACAGCCCTGTGTCCAGGTGATTCTATCCCACCCAACCTGAAACAAAAATTGGGGCCTGCTGTTTTGTAGAGGGAAGGAATATATTTACAAAACAAAGCTGATGGCTGTCAGGCATGGATCTGCAGCTTTCAAGATCACACTAGCCATGCAAGTCCTTGACCTAGAGAAAAAACTTATATTCTCTTTCTAGGGACAGTAAGTGACCTTGGAAGGACTGTGGCAATGGGTCACATCAAGTCAACACTAGGTCTTTTCTTCTATTTTCTCTTGAAACATTTTGTGTGTGATGGTTCTGAATCTACATGGTACTACTGTTCCCCCACATTATCAGACAGCATATTAAATCTGAGCTGATAACATGCAAGAGAAAAGAGAAGATGGCAAAATTTGCCTAGGTTTAGCATAAGCTCTGATTTTCCAGCACACAAAAATTCATTGTTAGGAAATTGAGCAAAGCACACCAGCCTCATGGCACAATTTGCTGAAGCAAAACTAAACTAACTGAGCTTCACACAACTGGGTCCGGCTTATCCATTTCCAGCAAAGCTGCATGGCTTCATGCTGCATTTCTTCCTCTGAATGTTAGTGCTGGTATTTCCTGGTGGTTTATTTCCTTCCTGTCTACCATAGAGAGGTGCCAGTGAAAGCTTAGTTGCAGTGTGCATGCACAGCACAAGAGTTATCTCCTCCCAGCAGCAGATCGTGTTCTTCACTTTGGTCATAGGAAGCATTAGGAAGAATGTTAAAATGTTAAATTGTGAAGATTTACATCAACATTTTTCTATTATAACCTTATATTTATGCTAATTGGAAAGTACTTGTAGTATCATGCTGGTCTTATAGTACTACTACCCATAATCCATTTTCATTTTACAGCTTGGGAGGCACGTTGGCTGGAGTTGACTGAATAGATTTTTATTAGGTACTGAAGAGCCTTCCTCTGGACTCACCTTGGTTGCCTCCCCTTCCTCGATGAATCTTTTCCTTTAAGTCACTTTAGGAAGCAGCAGGAATTCTGCAAGAGATGAGGATTCTTGTCAGGATGACACTGCTGAGGGTTCACAGTACATCAACACAGGTAACACTGTCTCCTCTTTTTATTGTGTGGTCCCTTTGGATCAGGCTTCAAAGCTGACCATCAGCTCTCATTTCAAAGTGCCCTGCCTCGAGTCTGAAGCTCTGAGTGGCTGGAGTTGGCCCCTCACTCCTTTACTTCCCTCTCATTTTCTGTGCCTCACACATTCTCTACTGCACTCTAGAACAAGGGTTTGAATCACAATTTCCCAGATGCCAGAGAGTGCCTTAGCCACTACCAAATTGGTTTGCAGTACTCCTTTGTCTGGTTCAGGATTCTTTTTTGCTATTCAGACAGGCTGAAATGCCCTGGCAGGCAGAGAGCTTGGCTCTCAGTCCAGGACTGCCCGTTACCTGGTGCTCTGGGCACTCAGCTGGCGAGGATGTTCTTGCTCTCACTGAGAAGAATCTGCCAATTACTCTGAAATCCTTTCCCATTGCATGGATGTGTTACTCCATGGGAAAGTTTACATCTGAGAAGTCTCTCAGAAAAAATACTGATGTGCCTAAAGCCCTTCTCCATCCACTGACATCTCATTTCTTTCTATTCTCCTTTGGTATGCTTTTCTGGAAATCTGATCCTCTGTGCATGTTCTTGGGGTTTCTGATGCTGACCCTAAAACAGTTTTTGCAAATTGCTGATAAGCTTATCTTCTCTTGGTGCTGCTCACTGCAAACAGGACAGGTTTTCTCTTTGGTTTTATGAAAATGCCCGATTTACAAGGTAAACTATTAAAAGATAAAACTAAAAGCTTGATAAATAGTGTCTTACAAAAACCCTTAATTATATTATGATTTTGCAATACTTTTATCAGAACTAAGTTAAAAATTCTTACATGGAAACTGCCGTTTTACAGACAGAATATTGCTTAAAAAAGACACTGTTAACTTATGGTAGTGGGTAATGCCAATTTCTGCAGTCTGGTCCCAGTCTTCCTTTGAACATTTGTTAGGGAAAATATGTAAAATTGATTAATTTCTGAAGTATAATAATAGCAGCAATATTATACTGTGGTGAAGGTTATTTTGCATAACTTTAAAACATTTACAGAAGGCTCAACATTTGGTGCCTTAATACAGAAGTATCTTCCCAGTAACCATTAGTGGTTTGTGGTGCCTGCTGTAGTAGCTGCCGCAGCCCTGAGGGTCTCAGTCCATGTTTGCCACGCACAGGGCACCCTGCAGAGCCCCCACCTCGGCTGGGGTCAGTCTCGGGGTGTTGGCTGAATAACTCAGAGCTCAGCTGTGACAAGTGGACATGCAGGGTGACAGTGTCCATGCTAATGTCTGCAGGAATTTGCACAGGGGGAGCAGGGCGCTGATGAGAGCACAGAATAAATCAAAGTGTGAAAGCAACTGCAGTCAAATGTCACACCCAAGCACTCAGGGGCCTGGCATGCTGTTTGGAAATAGGTTGGGTTACCTGTCAATGTGGCATTTTCTTTCTGTTGCTGGAGAATAATGTTATCTGAGGATAAAACCTCAGGAGCACAGATGGTTGTTATACCGACCCGACCCTCTAAACTCTTGTCATAGCAAATTATTCCATTGACGCAAATGGGATTACTCCTATGTAAAAGATCTCAGTTATATTATTTAATTCTTCCATTATTGAAGTTATCTGTTGATACAGTTTTGTTGCTTTGTGTGTGCGTGTGTATGTCTATACTTCTATAATTAAGTAACATTATCCATGGGACAAACTCTGGCATAGCTTAACAGTGCTGCAGTCACAGACATTATGTAGGGCTGTAGGATATAAATTCTCATTTTATGAGAAATTAGAAACATTATTTCTTCACTTTCTAAACAAAGAGATATAAACCCTCATTTGAATTTGGAATTTTCTTTGCTTGGGAACCATCAGCCTGGAGACCAGCACCTGTCTAAAGTCTAATGCTTCCTTTTGTAAAAACATGGACTTGTGGCTGTGGAGCAAGAAAAGTTCAAATTGCAAGCAAAACAGATTAAAATTTAGAATCAAACCTTATTTTTTTTTACCTATTGTATTACTTTAGGTATTATGATGCAAATCTCTCAGTATTTCTTGAAATACTGATTGTTTAAATGTAAATAATTTTTTCAGCTGCTATTTCTGTTGCCAGACAATCCTCTACACATTGTGAATCTGTCATGAGAAGAGGCCTTACCCCATTGATTATCTTAGAAAACAGTTCTGCTGGCTTCAGAAACATCAAAATAAGGTAAGATGCCCTCAGATGGGAATCTTGCAGGCAAGATACTGACTCAGTTGCTTAACTTTACCACATATCTCACAATGTGACTCCACAGTTTGGTTAGAAAACATATCTCACTTCTTTTTGTCTACTTGGAACTGAAGCCAAACCCTTGGAAATCCCTTATATCTAGAAAAAGATCAAGAGAAAATATTGAATCCGTGCCCTTCTTTAGTATTGAGAGGAAAAAAATTACAATTTTTGCATAAAATCCATGCAGTTCAGTTCTGAGCCTGGCAACTTTCAGTGGCTGTAGTAGTTGGGCATTTTTTAGACCTTCTCATTTACAGTCTACTCAACTATCTTTAATTAGAGAGGATACCTTTTCCCTAGGAAAACCTGAAATTGGAGTAGAAAATATTCCTGTCTTGGGGTTTGAAGCCCTGGGTCACATGCCCACCCTTAATTTTTAAATCATGGTGGCATTACTGGACCAGGTAGTGGCAGACTGGTTGCACAGAAACATGCCATAGTTTTGGAAAAGTGGATTCCTTCTAATTAAAAACACATTGTGAATTCTCTTGAAGGAAAAAAAAAACCCAACATATAGCGTGGCTGATTTCTATGATAGCTGTCACTGTCACACCATGGATTCAGCTAACTGAACCATTTTTTATGAATAACATTTATTTTTAATTCTGATACGTTTAATTGAGTATTTTTCATTATTTTACCAGAGATGGATTGCAAGAAATCTGACCCAATGTTTCTGACCCAACTTTTTTTAAAAAAACAGAACCAATGTGATGACCTACAAATGTTTTGCTTATTTTTGTTCTATTGACTCCAGAATTCTCCTCTGATAGGAACATACTTCTTCACTAAAGATTGAAAAACATAATGGTATTAGTCCTAGGTTCTCACACACAAAAGCTATGAGGGAAAAAAACCATGGAACCATTTTCACAAATAACAGACCAGCCCAGAGCTCTTCTTAAAAAACAATACAAGGAGACTTTATACAGCTGTCCATGCAGAAAACAGACGATTCATGTGGTTTTATATTTTTTCACAGAAGCATTTTTGCCTCTGTCAGAATGGAGCATTCACTAGTGCCCTTTATCTAAAGAAGCTAATCCACAGAAATTGTTTGGAGCTAATTTTCTGGAGTTCCACCTGACTCCTAGTGTTACAGACAGTAACTTGTCTGGTGACACGAGAGGAGAGCTCTGTATGTCAAAATGAGCAGGCCTGACACCATAAATGTTAATACAACAGTGCCAGGGAAGCACAGTGCAAGCTAATTCTGACATTCATTTCAGAAGCTGTAATTTAATTCAGTCACAATTGAGCTTGGTGTAAGTATTAATTTAAAGTTGCTTTTATTTCTCATCTGCTGGCTAAAGCTTGCAAACAGTAGGGGAAAGGTCTTGCTATACTGCTACAAATAAGTAAACAATCTTTTCTGCCAAGAAGACTCCAGTGTAAATGCAGAGTCAGGGAATAATTTTTCAACTAATTTATCCTGCATATGGATACTTGGAAACTACAGATGCTATGTAACGATCTCTATCTACAAATATTTCCCAAAGGACAAGAGAACTTCAATTACACCAAGTTTATAATAAATCATTGCCATGGACTGCTGCTAGCCCACATTAGAGAAGCACTGTGGACAGGGCGAGGTGTGGGTGAGCAGTCTCGCTCAGCCTTAGGAGCACAATTCCCACCTGAGGTTGAAGCAAAGCAAGGTCAGAAATTGGGAAGAGGACGTGAAGTGGATACAGAAGAGAATGAAAACCTCTATCAGAATGCAGCTGCAAGAGATTCTCTGTAAATATTTTCCTGCCTTCCCTTCTCTCTTCCTCTCCCAGTGCTTTCTTCCTCTATCAGAATGCAGCTGCAAGAGATTCTCTGTAAATATTTTCCTGCCTTCCCTTCTCTCTTCCTCTCCCAGTGCTTTCTTCCTCTATGCTTTGACCTGTTCCTGGGGTTGTTTTCCCCCCTCATCCATTATTCTGTGCCCAAAACCAACCCCTATCCTGGAGATAGTAGAGTGCAGGGAAAACAAGGCTGCAAAATGAGCTCTCTCTCTGTGTATTTGCATTGGTTTCCAGCTCTTTCTATGAACAGGCATATGGTGTTAATCTAAACTGTCCAACACATTAGTGGGAGGGAAGTAGCACCCAGAGGATTATTACAACATTTTACCTGACAGATGCCACCATATTTATTGATATGAAAATTTCCTCCCTCCATATCAGCCACTGAAACCTTCCTCTGTGAATTCTCTTTATTTTAGGCATAGCTCTATTAAAATATTTTGTTAAACTCCTTAAGTTTTACTTAAGAACATGTAAATTCTAGAATGTACATTCGTTATTCAGGAAAAGTTATCGCAAAAGTCAATAGAATTTTAAAGTAATGAATGGTGTGTTTATTGTAGTTGGCTGGTTGAACACATGGCATTTTTATGAGTAATTTCTGTGGGCTGCATATGTATGTGTCCATATGTATGCACAAGTATATATATGTATGTATAAGAATATATAGAACTGTACATGTGTATATATATGTATTTTTGATTTTTATCTCGAATACTGTGATTTTATATCACATATTCCTGAAGAGAATACAAAAATCAATTTACAATGGTACATCAAAAGGCTAAAAAGGAGAGCCAAAGTAAAGTATCATTGAATTGAATTTCAGATAATCCTGAAATGTGTAATAGTGTCAAGCCAAATCTGGAAAGCACTTATAAAATAATGCAGGATATATTTGAAAAAAAAAAAAAAGAAAAAAATCAAAGTATTCTTTTTTGTATTTTAAAAATAATATTTTAAAATAGATTTCCTACAGTTTTTATCAAATAACCAGAGCCAATATTAATATGAAGAAAACAGGTCAAAGACAATTTTAAAGACATCTTTTGAAAGGGCAAACACTTTCAGTTTGGTTTTACTTTCACAGAGAAAAACTATATTCAATTCCATCAAGCCCTGTGTTTTCAAATATTTTGTGGTTCTGGCTTAATTCCAGAGTGGGAAAAACTTCAAAGTTAAGGATCAAGGCTTCAATATAACAAAATTGGGTAAAATTAAGGATGGTAACCTGTTGTGATAGACAGTAGGGAGGGAGTGATCTCTGATCCTGGATTTCCTTCCTTTTGCTCAAATCATAACAAACCTCAAATACAGATGAATTTCTTTTGCTGGTGCAATAATATGTCTTTTTATTTTGGAAGCAAATGAAGTCTAGAATGTCTGCATATGTGTGTTGGTAATAAAACATTTCATACCTCTGAGATAGCTACAAAATCTGACTCCCCTTTCCTGGGGAACTGTTCTAGGTTCTTTGTGCCTACAGGGCCTTGCAAACACCCTTTCCTTCCCTTTGGCCAGCGTGGGAACGTGATCATAATATCCAATGACACACAGTACAGTAGCATGTTGTTCTGCCTCCAATAGAAGTGGTATTTGAGAAAAGTCAAGGTCCACACATGGAAACATCATTGATAAATCCATTGATAGAGCTTGAGAAACTAAGCATCATTTTGGGCTCAAAGCCAATCACCTTTAGTGCAACTTTCTACAGCAAGGCAAGTCAATGGACATGCAGAAAAGATTGAGGGTGTTGTGTGGAAACCACACATGTTGCTACATCTTATAGGTTAAGAATTTTCCATCTCTATATGTTCCTTAAAGGGAAAGTTGGATTTTGTGAGCATATTTTTTCCACAAAAAAAAAAAAAAAAATCTGCTTTCTCTAGAAAATTAGAGCTATTCATCAGACAGCCAAACACCTGCAAGCCAAATATTTCTGGCTGAAAGTATTGATCCTCTCAGGAGGATGGGAGTTTGGTGCTTCATTTCCATGCACTTTGTTAGGGCCTCACAAGTGTCACATTTTCAGTGTCTTGTGTGGCTGAGCTCGAGTGGGGACAGGAGCACACGTGACAGCAGCACTGCCATGGAACAGAATTTGGGTGTGAGCTGATATCCCACTCCACTCCTGCAAGGCCAGGATCTGCCTGCAAGCAAGCCAGGGCAGTGGGGATGCTCAAGGATTTTGGGCTGGAAAAAAGCTCCAGGTTAAGCAGTCATATCTTCAAGTACCTAAACCTACCATTTGCATGGTTAGTGTTTTTTACTATGAGTTTTCAGATGGAACCTTTGTTACTTTACTGTTATAAAAACAAATCTTTTCAGATTTTCCAATTAAAAACAGATCAATAAGCTCAGATAGTTTTTTGGGAAGTAATGGGCCTGACTCTGCTCCATTAAACTCAGAGACATTAATTGGGCAGTGGATTACCTAGAACAGAAGCTTGGTAATACTTGAATTTAGATATAAGAAGGAAGTTTTTTGTAATGAAGTAAAACAGTGGCATGGATTGCCCAGAGAGGTGCCCCATCCCTGGAAACAAGCAAGGTCAGGTTGGATGGGGCTCTGAGCAGCCTGGTTTGTTGGAGAGGTCTCTGTGTATTGCAAGGGGCTTGGAAAAGATGTCCCTTAAAGGTCTTGTCCAGCCCAAACCACTCTGAATCTACAGATATTTGTTAATGGTTCTCTCTAACAACTATTTATATTTTCAGAAATTCATTTTAGTTTTGGTCAGATTGAGTTTTAAAATACAGCTGGGAATGTAAAAAGTAATCAAGAAAAGCATAATTTTTTCTCAACCAAAAATATTTGGTTTTGCTTCAAAAGAATGGCTTCATTTTTGGTTTCAGGCTGTTTCATGTGCTTAAAAGCTTTTTGTCTTTCCTTTTAAAATTTAGAGCAATTTAAAAATGGATAGATTAAAAGCTTGTTTTGAAAGTTTTTGAAAGTATTTTGGCAGTTCTAAAATGAACCACTCCATTTTGAAAATACTAAAATGAAGTGCTTTGACATTTTTATTTTTTTTCTTCATTGTTTCATCTGGGACTATTTGCTAAATTCCATTCAAATTCATGAAGAGTCTCACTAACCCTGAAATTAATTTGTGTGGCGTATTTATTATTTGTCAGACAGCAGAGGTTCATTAAACTCTGCATCAGTTCAACCTTAAATAATGGGAGAGAATTCTTAATAGGGCCTTGTTCATATACAGCTAGCATTTTCCTCCCCTTATAATTACTGCCCAAAGGGGCACTCAGCTGTGCAGAGCCACATTTACCCCTCTGGAAGAAGAGGTGGCAGGACAGACCTCAGCCCTCTGAGCTGGTGTTGCTTCCTCCTCTCCAGCCATAGGAGAATATGCTCCTCCTGGAGTGCCCATATCACCCTTACAGCTCACACACTGGCTCTGTAGCCTCTTGCTAAGCTCTGCCTTTCTGCCTCTGGCTGCTCCTGCCATCAAAGGAAGACCCTTTGCTCTTCATGTCTCTGTATGTGGTCATTGCACTTTTCATGCTTTAATAGCTTCTTTCTCACCTTTTTGCTATTAGTGAAGATTGGCCTGTTTTTACTCCAACTGGTTTAAATATTTCTAAAAGCCATTCACCTGCAGTAGCAGTCAACAGCTGGCATGCCAACATTTTTGTCTTTTCTGGCTGCTCAGCTTCACCAGGGCTATTCACAGCTTGCACTTTGCTAAGGTCGTTGGTATCACCCTTACACATTTCCTGTATTACATGAGGATCAGGTTCCAGTAGTTAACAAGTCAAAAAATATTCCTGGGGGAGGAGCGGAACTAGGTAGATAAGTACGTTCCACATGTGCACTTTATTTTGGGAATTGCTGCCTTCATCCATGTGAGAAATAATTGTGATCAAACATAGGTCTGAAACGTGGTACCCCTGATCACACAGAAATGCCTTTGTACTCTGAATGTTCTAGTCCAGCAAGGCCAGAGTATGATGGGACCTCAACTGCTGGCCACTGCTCAGTGCCTGAATCTATAAATAGTCTCTGGGTCAAACTTTGCACTACTGTAATTGGGAATAGCTCCAGTAAAATCAGTATCTCCACATTTATTCTCCTGAAATTTAAAGCCAGGTTTGGCCCACGATGTGGACAGGGTCCAACTGGCAACTAGAGCCAGCCTGACTTATGGGAGAGGAGATGAGAACTAACTCTCCTGCAGTTAGTTAGCCTCAGTCCTCACGTGTCTCCCAGATATAACTGTTCTGACCTCAGTGGAATTGATCCTAATTTATGCCACTGTAACTGAGATTGTAGTGTGCATTGTTTGAATTCTGTTGGGTGCGCCTTCTTCCAGATGGAAACTATTTGCAAACTATAACAGCCTCTTTCCTAATGTTGAGGCTTGCCATATCTGAAATTTTTGGTGGGGCAGGGGTGGGGAGAACAGGATATAATGCCAACTTTGTGCTTAGTGCTACCTAGTGACATTAAATTCTGCAGTGTTCTATTAAATTATCAGTGCCTAATTAGGGGATTAGAAGATTCCTGTCCTCTCATCCTAATTACAGAATGTGTTTCAAGATCACCTGAAAGAAGGGAGGAGGTAGGTTTAGGAAATTCCGAATGGCAATGTGGTGATTCTGTGCAGGCCTCTTTTCTTACATGGGCGTTCCTGCTAATTGATTTTTCTTGCATCTGCAGCTTCTGTTTTTTCCAGTTTTACAGATTACATTGCTGAAGCGTTTGATGAATGGGATGCTGTGCAGCTGAACGGTCACACATCTCAAATGGCTCACTTGGCTCTCTCAGACCGAAATGACTGGCAGAGTTGCAGCTCTCTGACAAGGGGAATGGTTGCTTTTCTCTCAGAAAAGCACTGTAACTCTTAAATGCAACATAAAAGCATATTAGCAAGATAATATACACACATATATGTTTGTCTCTATACACATGCATATGTGTGTGGATATATATTTTTGGAGTGAAAAGCCACCCTGTCTTTCCCTAATTGCACTGGAAATGTTCAGTTTGTCAGCCTGATTTTTTTCCCTGTTAGTGATGAAATTTGGCCAGGAGTCCTAGCAAACCATAAGAAATCAAGCCGTGACCACATAAGCATGAATGGCAGGGCAAGGTTACAGCCTGTAACACTATGCTGGGGTGACCTGTTGGAGAGTTAGAGGCTGAGGTGTGAGGCTGGGTCAGATAATTATTTGCAAGTGAAGCACAAAATGAAGCTCAAAGTTGCTTTGTATATTTACTCTTTCAAGAGGCATTTAGTGAGTATTTTTTATTTTTGAAGCATATTTAGAAAACTTCAGCTGCACGGCTTGTAGCCAACCTTCAGAAATCAAATATTTCTTAATTTTACCTACAGATACACTCATGGCATATACCTACTTATTCTACTTTTCAATGATTTGAAAAGCTTTTCTATAAACTCATGTACAGAGTGACTGCTGAAAAGCATCTGAAATAGACAGAGAGGTTCAGCTGCAGTGAAATAAAACATGGGATCACCCAACCAGTAACAGGAGTAGGTTGGTGGATCTTTCCTGTGATCAGCTCTGGAGTCGTTCTACTCCAGCAGGCAGTTAGACATTCTCTTAAAGAAGAAAAAAGAGAGGTGCCAGGGAATTGTTTGCACCACCTATAAACTTTCTGCCCTACATCTGTCGCCTGAAATACTGAATCAAATGCAGATGGTAAAAAAACCCCAAAAACAAAACCAAAGACATTTTTGATTTTGAAGCCTTCTTATTAATTTATCTTTCCTTTTTTTTTCTGGTAATTTTTGATTTATTTTTCTTACTAGACCCTTTAGCCCAGGAGGTACATTTGAATGCAGCTTTGAAGGGAATTTGGCTCAGTGCTGTAAGGCAAGCTAGGAAAGAGCCTGGTCTTAAAATAGACACAAAGCACAACACATGAATTGGCTTTCTGGATCCCACAGAAGCACAACCTGAACTTTGCCTTGTGAAGTAGCAAACTTGAGGGGCTCAATGAAAAATTTCACCAGAATCAGGGCTGCAAAGGATCTCCTGTGTCCCACCCTTTTACAGCAGGAAACAGGCTCTAGAGAAGGTCACCCACCTACACCAGCTTTCCCTCTGTCAAAGACTGCACACCTTTGTGTGGGGTCACTTATGAGTTATCTTTCTGTCAGGAGAGGACAATCTGGCTTTTTCATGCCTCAGTCAGTTGGACAGCTATCCAAACTTTGTGATGGCAGCAGCCACTGCCCGGGGAAGTGCGACAGTTCAGCAGACTCCTTAGGGAACTGTGGATTGTCCCAACAAGTAAACCATCTCCTCTCACAGTGCAGAGCAGCAGAGCATTACAGAATTGCCAGAATTATTGCCAGTTCTTGCAATGATTTCTAGATTAATAGCACCGTGAAGCACTTTCTGCATCCTAGAAAGCTTAAGATGTTGAGGAGGACATAAAAGGTCATTTAAGGACTGTCCCAGCATAGGCCCAGCCACATCTGCTTCATTTCTGATTGGCATTAGTCCAGTCTGTTCTTAAAACCCTGTTGACAGAGCACCTCCATAGCTTTGCAAAGAGCAAGCTGTGCTTGTTTACTAGTCTTTAGCATTACAAAGCTTTTCCTAATAATGTCCAATACAATTCTTTCTTGCTGCCAATTATACTGTTTTCACTTCTTTTCTGGCAAGCTAATTCCTTCACTTTTATACCAGCCTTTTCTGTGTATGTGGGCTGTTATTGCAGGTATCTCTTCTGTATACTAATTATCTCTAATTAGTCAATCTTACCTTTTCAGCTGTGTCTTCTAGATTTTTGGTTCTTCTCAGAGCTCCATCTAGCAGCAGTCTGTCCTGTCACTTAAAAACTTTCTGGAAGTCATGTGCTCAACACTGGATCCTGGTACTTTAGCTGAAGCCTTACCGTGGCTATTGATGGCTCTTGCAGTCGCTCTTGCAGGGCTGTTTTCATCAGACACAGCAATGACTGCTTTCAACATTTAATTGTAAGTAGCTGAGGCTATTTGTAATTAAATTAATTACTTGATATAATTAAATAATTACTTGAGGTTGAACTGATGCTAAGAGAAGCCAGACATTCATCTGGCATAAAATTGATGCAGTGTCTCAGTGTCTCTAAATAATACTGACTTACATTATCTGAGCACAGTGAACAGGTTTACAAATGCCCTGGCATGTCAACACCTGAGTCTCCTGTTTCACTGCAAGTGCTGCTTCTGCCAGCTGCATCTGTGTCTCAATCTGAAGCTGCTTCACTGTTGTAGTGGACATAAACCCCCAGTGCATGAATGATGCATGTTTGCATAATCAGTATCAATTGTTTAACCAGGAGCATTTGCTGCATGAAATGTTAAAATCATATTATATCCAAATACTGCTGTGTTTTTCTGGTTTATGGATACTAGTGTTTAATCAAAATGTTCTAATTAATTATTTAAATTCTGTTAAAATGTACAAGCAGTGTGTTATAGTTAAAATGCCATCAGGTCTGATCAACTCTAAAATTGAGAAACATATTTGACTGATTTGAGGCATCAGAAAGTGATCATAATGTTATTGCAATTAACAATGTAATTAAGATTTACAGGTTGCATAATTCATTTCACATGTATAACAATTGAAGTTTAATTGATAAAAATTAAGTGTATTTATTAGTGGTATTTTCAGAACCAAAAGTTACAACAATGAAATTTGGATAATATTTTTTTTATTTCTTACCATTCTTAGCTTGATTGCTATTCTGCTTCCGTATTTTCAGATTTCCAGAACTTCTTTTTGGTTCTACTTTAACCTAGAGGGAAAGGATGACATTTTTAAAAACTGCAAATCTTTAGCTGACAAACCATATTATTAAATTTTAAATGGTTCTTCTTTTACCCACAGTGGCTGTTGTACTTGCTGCTGCATGCTTATCTACACCTTGGTCATATATTCATTTAAGTCATTGTATAGAAGAAAGAGCATGTTATATTAATGGATTTGTAAGATTGAACGGTTGTGGGGACTGATTGCTGTAGTCTCATTTATGACAGTATGACTTAGTTGGAGGCTCAGCTTAAACCTTTCAAATGGAATGGATCAAACTAATTCTTATTAGAGTATGTTTTACTTAAATCAGGCAATGGCCATTTCTGTTACTATTACTGAACATGTAGCAATAGCATGAAGCAATAGATCTCCATTGTTTTAATGATTTTCCAGTCTTATTTAAGTGTAATGATAGATCCCCTACCTTGATGTTGTGATGAAAAAAGCTTTGATAGATACTAATCCACAAGGGAGATGAAAGGGCTTAAAATTTAGTCCCTGTCTGAAAGGTGACAGTATAGATCATTCCATGTAATCAAAACAGATAAGAGATGGCAGTGATTATTGTAACTGCTCCATAGTCTCTCCTACTGCTGTACCCAAAGTCCTTCAGTGGAATCACTATTCTGAACACTGTTACTATTTTACACTGGGTTTATTGCTAATACTCAATGCCAGAAAACAACATTGCAGATGTCTTTCAAGGCTGAAAGACATCTCATTCTCATTGTCATGGAACTTCTGCAAGTCACACCTCCCTGTGTGAATGGTCTGAGGAACCACTGGAAAAATAGATGGGGTTTTTTTGTTGTTGAAAGAGTAATTAATGCATAAAAGGACACAGTTTACAGGACTGGACTGTCAGACATCAGCTCATGACTTGCATTATGTTATATTGACAATGTCTTGGCAAATAAGACGCTGACAAATCGTTTTGCAATGAAAGCATGAACTATACAGAATATTGTGCAAGGCAGACAATATAAGGAGACACCCTCCAATCTCCAAGGACTTGCATTTTTTATTGCTTACCCCATTTTTACTAATATCTGTGCTGATGCAGTGTCTCATTTGGGAAGTGGGATTTTTTTTCTCTTCTTCCTCATGCAAAGCATCCATCAAGACTGAGCCCAACACCACTTGTGTTTGTCAGGTGATGCAAAGGGAACCCAGAGCACTGTGTTACAGAGGCCAGAAGCTTTCATAGGGACTAACATCAGAGACTGAAAGATCCTAGGTATTCAAAGAGGTAATGTCAAGGAAGATTCAGGTTAGACCTTAGGTCTCCAGAAGTGCAGGTGGATACATTTTATATGGATGTTATGGAATGCCCACCCTGGTCTTAACAAAAACTTAAAATTAAGAATAATAAATAATATTTCCTACAAAAACCCACCATCATTAAATTAAAAGCAAAGGCAACATGCAAATTTGATTCACTGCTGAGTATCCAGAGGGTCTCTTGCAGACCCTTCCACTATTGCTTTTGGGGTCAGATCTTGAACTGGTGCTGAATTCCTCACATTTGGGTGGACTCAGCATGGTTCACTGGTACTGCTTTGTATTTGCCTCCCTTTGTTAGGAGAGGGGATTTAACTACTTGACAGTCCTGATACTCAACAATGCTCTGTCAATCTTTTGTTTATCAAAATTTCAGACAAAGTGATGTTTTCAAAATACAGTTATAGGTAGATTAAAAACAATAATTATTAGATGTAGCTGAGTTTCAGAGTTCAGCCATTCTGGAAAGATGTTTTTAAAGAGATAAGGTGTGTGGCACCAGTTTAATGAGCAGAGAAAGATGTGGTTTTTTATTTCTGTCTTTCAAAAACAAGCAGAAAATGGGGAAAATATATTTTCTTTAGCTTGTTAAAATCTGTAATTAAATAGCTTTTCACTAAGATAACAAATGGAAAACACTGATTCCAAAGAAAAAATAAATCTAGAAAGTCCTGAATTAGTGAAAAAGAATTAAAGGTGAAAGTAGCCTATAAATAAATGTTATAGTAGAAATCATAGGAAGAAAACATTATCCTTTCTGTCATATTTTTATGCTCTAATGAAGCCCTATTACATATTTCTGTGGCCCCCTCTGTGATGAGTTCTTCAGTATTCCCTGCTGCAATAAGCAGTCATCTGAAACTCCTGTGGGACTGGCCTCTCCCAAGACACCCAGTGTGGATTGTTCCCTAACTACCATTTCAATGGCAAAAAGGACTCTGTGTTTTGACAGGGAAATCCTTATAACTTTAAAAATGAATTAAATATTCATCCAATCTTAAAATGACATCATGAGAGCAGCTCTTTTGCTGATGTAGTGACTATAGAGTTGCTTGACATTATTCTGCTAACACAATTTGATTGGATATATGTTTTGACATCCAGACAACAGGGACACTGATGGAAAGTGATGGACCCAATGTCAAAAGAAGAAAAGCTGTCTGCAGGAGGACACCCAGAAAATTAATAGGTGGATTGCAAAAAACCCTTTTCCCAAAGGGAAAAGTCAATAAAGTGAGGACTGAATAAAACCTCCAAAAAACAAAAAGAAAAGGCACAGGCAAACCAATTCTTATAAAAGTAGCAAAGAGATACTGAAGGCAGTTTTGGAGCTCAGTAGATGCAGGCTGAAGAATAGTTAATTTGAACCTAAATAGCTGACATTCAATATTCATATTTTTGTTTCTGCCACAGCCTTCAAAAATAACTGTGTTGATACTGTAGAGAACCTCATTATTAAGCATTCTTTATCTTGTTCACACTTTTAGTCTTTTCCTTAATTTCCACCATAAATATGTTCCAGAATACTGTAAACAAAATGCCATCTGCAGGAGGACTAGCATTTTTAGACATTTTTTGGGGGGACATTTCAATTTAGAAGCCGAGAACTTATCTTACTTCCATCAAGAGCCTTTGTAAGTAGTTCTGCTTGCACATTTATGAAGTGTATTTATACATGATCTTCAAAATCTCCAAGATAAAAAAAAAAATAAATCCAGTTTTAGAATCAGCCAGAAACATACTCCTTCATGTATTTTGCCCATTCTGAATTGAGCATTTGTATCTATCAAAGATAGATAGGTATAGGTAAAGGTCTTGTGACAGAGCTCAAGGCAGAACTGTGTTAAATAATGCAGTGCAAAGAATCCAGTACTTGCATAGTCAACAAAGTCCTCCTCTCCAAGTAAATGGAGTAAATTTACATATTTTTCCACCTGCTGACATTATATCTCCCTTTGCACTGGCTCCAGTATCAGACTATTTCTCAAGCCAGTCAGAGACACTATATTATTCTGATTTTTGGAGTCTCTGAAGTGCCTGGGCAGCAGATTTAGGAAGCTGTGAGACTGATATAACTAATTTAAATTATATATTTATTGTTCTCTTATATTCTCCTGTAGGCCTCCAGTGATGGCCACTGGCACAGGACATATTTCCAAAATGGACCTTTTGCTTGCTCTAGAATGGCCATTTCTACTGTTCCATGCAAAAAACCACACCAAACCAAAACAACCCTACAAAGAAGCCTCAATCAAACAGTCATCCAAGATACTAAATAATAAGAAGCTATTCTAATACCAAGAAATTACTCTCAGATCAAAATACTGAAAATCAATAAAGAGGAAAAAATAAGTTCTGTGAAAGTAACTTGGCTTCATTTTCTGTAATTCTTGGTTAGAACATTTCCATTGATAGAGTTGCTAAGTGCATTCTATTTACAAATATAAACACTTGATTTTGATCAGCAAAAATGCATCAGCACACTTGAACAGTGTCAATGATGACATAATTACACTCACAATTTCCTCTCTGTAATGATTTTTAAATGTCAGCAGTCATTTTTTGTCTAATTGTAGCTTGCATGTCAGCACTTCCTCTTAAAGCAGCATGTTCCTCTCTGTTGGAATTTCACACCTTTCCATTCACTCACTCACTCACTCACTCACTCACTCACTCACTCTCACTTCACCAGTGAAGGTAATGAAGATGATAAAGGGCTCCTTTTCACTTCTGTGCTGTTTT